TAATAATTCATTCACCACTTTAAAATGTTTTCTGAAATGTCTAGGAGAATGTAACTTCACCAAACATCGTGTTATTTAAGAATATTGTGCATATTCGTTTGTGTTCAAAAAATATAAGTTAGACCTGTGCTCATTAGTGACTAGCTTCGTGAAGAATCTTCTTTGAATTGTAGTGGGAAGACGTGACCAGTAAAGATGAACCAGTTCGGGTGTAGACAGTATCTACCGACGACTGTGTATGAGGTTGCGCATCTACGTGAATTTTATGAACATAGACATTAAAACCGTTGGATATCGGCACAGTGGTCTATCGGTGAGGGCGTTCGCTCACAAAACCTAAGGTCCTGGGTTCGAACCCTGCGGGCTGCAGGAGTTGTGGATGCGCACTGCCACTGATGAGTCCCATACAAGGACGAAACGGCCGTCTTTCAGTGCTTCCAGGTTTCTAATGGTGTTGGTCTAACACTGATCGATTCATGATTTCAAAAAATGTGTAACTTAACAATCTTCACAACCTCGTAATGCAAATTAACATTATTGGATGCCGGTCGGTTCAGTGGTGCCAGAAGTTAATAAGCGTTCGCACGTGCAAGACTGAAACTCCTGGGTTTGACTCCCGCAAGCGGAGATAGTGGATACTCATTGCTGATCAGTCCCATACTAGATACAATGATTGGTTCATGATTTCAATGTGAAACAACAATCTCCATAACTCTGTAAATAAATATCAGGAGATTTCCATTTAATCGATTTATAAAAACTACTTTCAAATTTACCATTCTCTATAAAACCAAGGAATAATATTGTTGAATATGTTAGATCCCCAGAACGCAGTTGGAAAGTGCCCTAATTTTGGATTTTGTGTTTACGTGCATAGGCTGATCAGTTGACCTTGAGATTACATTTCCCACTGGGAAAATCCTTGACTGTCATCGGTTGATGTATTATTTTAGTACGCTATTTTTATGGCTCTCCCAAGGACTTTTCTATCAGGTATAAATAAACTAGATTTGTGTGCTTGTAGACTACACTTTATACGCCATATCAAGATTTCTTCTTCTACGTAGCGGGGGTTTGGGAAGCTCGGATTAGAGTAGCCTATCGTGTCACTGGATCATTTGTCTTCGCTCTTGTTTATCGACTAGCATTCAACCATATCAATTGACGAGCATAACAAACACGTTCATTTGGCTCCATTTGTTATTACTCTTGTTCTGTCAATGATCTAGCCTTAACAAGTTTGCTTATGGTTCTATTGATCTGGTTATCTAATATTTGAATTAGACTTAATGCATCCTTTTGCCCATGAGTATCTTCGCCAACCTTTTAAATCTAATCTTTGTATATTCATGACTCTACTGTAATGCACTATTTTTGTTTAGTTGGAATTAAAACTAGTGTTCTTCCCTGTCTTCATCGCCTTCCTCATAGTAGTAGTCTCCTATCGATTCATGAATATTATCATCACTTGACTCTTACCTCTTGTTCAAATTTCTTCATTCATCCCTAATGTTTTAAAGCATTGGTCGTGTATCCTGGGACACCCAAGTAAGCAACGCTGTTATTAGGAATCGGGTGCTAGGTAAGAATTGCAGATCAGTAGATGAAGTAATGAAACTTCATCCATTGAAGTGGTTGGAACATGTGTTACGTATGCCTAACCACCGACTGCCTCGTCGAGCTTTGTTTTGTAGTGCAGGAATAGGTCGGAAGAAAGTTAGGGGCGGTCAAACCAAAACATGGCACAAATCCATGAAGTCATTAACATGTGGACTTAGCCATGTCGGTAATTGTCGACTCCCTGGTTGGGGTCCACGAGATGATAATAATCGATGGCTAGAGACCTGAATGACATGGCTCAAAATCGTTTGCGATGGCGCCGGTGCATTTATTCTTTGTGTTCTCTCAAATCCTAATCTTCTTGATTTTTCAACCCCTCTAGTTTTAACTTTGTAAACTTTTCTCATTGAATCATACTTCTTGAATAATACCTTCTAATCTTAACCTCTCCGATTACTTCTAATACCTTTACTACCTCTTCTACTATTGGATTTGAATTGACAATTTATACCTCTTTGCTGATGTGGTATGGCAACATGAACTGATGTACTTACGTACGTACGAAGTTCTACGTTGCATCTAACTGACTGACTGAATGTTTTAAACAACGACTCTGGTGTTAAGACAGGAATTTCCACTATGAAATATCTATTCTATTGCGTTTTTTTTTCTTTGTCAAAAGAAGAAAACGTCCTCTGTGTTTTTGTGCATTGATTGTTGTTTTAATAGAATCCACCCCCCCAACCCCCCCTGCTCTTTTTAATCTCATAATTCATTTTGATCAATAATTTTTGTGTATTCCTTTTATTCTCTATCTATCTATCTACACACACACACACACACACACAAACACACAGTTAAATCATCTTGTTAAAGTTGGTTCAAATAAAGTATTATTATCGAATGAACATGATGGCGTTGATCAAACATCATCATCAGATCAATTCACATCAAATCATCAATTAATCAATGATTGCATTCAATATGCCATTGATTTAATTCGTAGTATTTTAAGTTTAGCTAAACAACGTGTCCTTTGGGCTATTGAACATTCAACATGGGCATGGTGTCCAACAAACAAACAATCGTCGTTGTATGATGATGAGGATGATGATGATGACAATGTGGACAGTGACAATGATTTACAAATTCATCGATCACGTCTACTACATAAATCAAATAATAAAACTCGTCTACAAGTATTACAACGTTTAAGACGATTAAAACATTGGTATGCAAATTTAAGAGAATATTTAATTTCCATTGTGGGTAAGTTGTTTGTGTTTTGTGTTTTTTCCTCCATCATTTATACTATTGTTTGTCATTTTATTACGTAATCATGATTCAATGTAGAATGATCTTTTTCTTTAGAAAATATTTTTTATTTTCAGTTTTGATAGATTTTGATTATGTGCTTTCGTTATATGACTATTTTGTTAAGTGGATGAGCACGTTTACTGAAAATGTCATGTGTTCTATAGTCTATAGAAACTACTGCATTGTTGTATTGTAGTGAAGGAAAACACAGGTGAGGGCAACCGAATTGTATTTAGCGAAAATTACAGAGTTACTCAGTAAAATAGGAAAACCATATCGTAAACGGTTAATTTGCAAATCTTCAATCCATCATCAATCCATTGTCTGACATTTCACTGTTGTTCATGCGTTTCATACAAATTCCATTGTGTTCCCACTCTTCTTCCTTTCTCTTGATCTTCCCCCATCTTCTGCTGCCAGACATTACGTTTTCACTCGTGTCATATACTACTTATAAGTAGTGCGCACCACAGTATATCTGTTCAGAGTATCAGAAATCTGAATGAATGCGTGATAAATAGCTTTTTATTATTTTGTTCTTGAGCAGTGCGATTCAGTGATTAATTGCGTTCAACTTTCAACCACTAGATCCTAGGTTCGAATCCTACTCCTGATATACTACGATCTAAGTTATCACACTTAGAATGTAGCTCATATCCAGATACTTGCTGAATGATTTCGTTTGTAGTATGTTGAGCCTACATAGTATTGGGGATGTTAGATCCCCAGAACTCACTTGGAAAAAGGTCCTGATTTTGGATGTTTTTACGTATAAGACGCTTAGCTGACATTCAGCTTACATTTCCCACTCGGAAAATCCTTGACTGTCATTGATTGATGAATTATTTTGGTATGCTATTTTGTGGCTTTCCTTAAGGGCGTTGCTGTCATTGTATAAATAAGCTTGATTTGTTTGCTTGTCGACCTCGTATATTCTGTGTGCTTGTAGAAAATACATTCTCTACGCCTTATCAAGACTTCTTGCTTTAGTTAGCAAGTCCTGGGACAATCGAATCAGAATAGCCTATCCTGTATCATTGACCTTCGTTCCGTTTCAATTGTAACTGATCGCATATTAATTATCAACTTTGTGTGTATGCGAAATATATATAGAGTTGTTATAGATAATTGTGAAAAGATAGTCAGCAGGTGAAAATCATCGACCTAAGTTTCATGTTTCCTCATGCAATTCAAATCCACCCTAGCTAGCCAGTTTCACAAGTCTGAGTCGTTGTCGCTGAGCATTATATCAATTTATTGTAACGCTGCTACGTATAGCTATTCAGTCCTAGCGGCGTCCAATTCAAATATCTCAATACGACCTAAAATGCTATTTCCAAATCTCCTATATATCAGAACGCAACACCATGGAATGGAGTTGTTTATTGGGTCGAATACAAAAGAGAGGTAGGCAGGAGAAACGGAATCGTAATCCGAATCATGAAGGCTTACAGATAGTGCGTATTTATACATTAAGGTCGAATAGGAAAGAGCATCAAAGTCTGTGACATTGGCAGTTCAGGACGACCAATAGGAAAGAACACTTGAAATGACATTGACAGTCCGGATGACCAATAAGAGATAACATTGAAGTATTTGACTTTGACAGTTAAAACGACCATAATTTTGACCAATAGAAATCGACCAATGGGATTACACTTCTAAAAATAGTACTCTTAGGATAATTGGTGAATATTCTAACACAATTGAAACTAGTTTTCTGTTGAACTGAAATGTTTACATGTCGACTGATCAATCTACTGATTAATATCATATTTCACTAACATTACAGGGGATCAATTGCGTAGACCTGAATCTGCTCTGGATTTGGCTGAACAATTTATTGATCGAGATCAAATTATGCGTTGGTGTTACTTATTGGAAGTACAAGATGAACAATATAGTTTAAATGTTGTTGATAATAATATTGTTGGTGATCATGATGACAATGATGATGTCTTGTCAACGAATGAAATGATTGATCAACGTAATCGTTCTCATCATCATCATCATCATCGGTTGGCAGCAATTATTAAACGTATTCCACCTGAATGGAAACTTCCAGATTATGCACTGCAAGTAAGTTATCTATGCATGCGCATACATATTATGCATTCACAGATATATAGCTAAGTAATTGATGTACTGTCTATCTATTCAATCATATTTCTTTTGTTTCAGTTAGATTTTTAATGTTTTACAAGATTAGTTAACTAGTTTAACTACGCATGTGTTGTAACGCTGCTACGTATAGCTAGCTATTCAGTCCTAGCAGCGTCCAATTCCAATATCCCAATACGACCCAAAATGCTATTTCCAAATCTCCTACATATCAGAACGTAACACCGTGAGATGGAGTTGTTTATTGGGTCGTATACAGAAGAGAGGTAGGCAGGAGAAACGGAATTATTAAGTCTTTCAGATAGTGCGTATTTATACATTAAGGTCGAATAAGAAAGAGCATCAACGTCTGTGACATTGACAGTTTAGGACGACCAATAGAAAAGAACATTTGAATGACATTGACAGACCAGATGACCAATAAGAGGCAACATTGAAGTGTTTAACCTTGACAGTTAGAACGACCATAATTTCGACCAATAGGATTGTACTTCTAAAAATAGTATTCTTAGGATATTTAGTGAATATCCTAACAGCATGTTTATTTCTAACTTAAACTACAGTTATATGTAGTTAGATTTGAATAACTTGTATATCAAAAGAATATTTGCTGGAATGCACATTTCTTGAAGTCTTATATTATACCAAGCAGGTTGGTTGGGCAAGTGGTAAGACTGGAAAATCACCAAAATTAAAATACTATTGCAGAAGTGGTACTGTTTTCTGTACAGAAGTGTATCTCTAGTAAGATGTTTCCCTTCGTGGCATTTCTACTTTCTCACGATGAATGAAGAAGGAATCAGTAAAGATTGACCGCCTAAAAACAACAAACTTCACTTTTTTTCGTGAATTCCCATTGCTGCTGATAATATCTGAAAAGTACAATCTGCTCCATAGATCGAGAACTACTCACAGAAAAAGTCTGCAAGTAACCACGTTCAAACAATTATCCCCCTTAAGCTCTACTACAATCACTCACCCATGTCATGTTTGACCCAGATTTTTTTTTATACAAACCCTGTCTGTTAATAATGGGACGAATATGAGGTTTAGAGATATTTTTCGGAATTATCATTATTATTACCCATATTTTTAGTGTACAGTTAGTGGATGATAACTGGGGTACATTGCATTTTTGTATCCTCCTGCTATTGTAAGCTTTCAATGGGCCCATTAAATGTCGCTGTATGTCATTCTTGACTAATTATTATGTATTATTTGCTCCGCCCACTACCATTTATGGTGTTATATGGTGTTTAAAGTACAATTTCTTATTTGGTGTATATATGTGTATATTATGTGATCAGTTATTTCAAGTTCGTCATTGTTATCGGTTTTGAGTCACGATTGAATTTGGATACAATAGAAACTTAGTCTGTCTACTATCTTATTGGCTTACTGGACTAGAAGGGATGATCTCAAAGACGATCAATAATCGTGTTAAGGCCTTGACTGTGTTGTTTGTTCACTGGGGTCTTACTAGTGTAGTGAAGGAGAACACAGATGAGGGCAACCGAATTGTATTTATCGAAAATTACAGAGTTAATTGGTAAAATAGGAAAACCATATCGTAACCGTTAATTTGCAAATCTTCAATCCATCATCAATCCATTGTCTGACATTTCACTCACTATTCATGCGTTTCATACAAATTCCATTGTGTTCCCACTCTTCTTCCTTTCTTCTTGATCTTCCCCCATCTTCTGCTGCCAGACATTACGTTTACACTCGCGTCATATACTACTTATAAGTAGCGCGCACCACACCAGTATCAGTATACAGGTGTATATCATTCAATAATTAAAATCCTCCTAACTAGTCAATGTATTCCAAGATATCGATTGAAAACTCAACAAACCCCCCTTCAAAAAAACAAAGTTTCATTTCACACTGTGACCCATCTCACTCAATGGTAACTTTCTTCACTCGCCACTTACTTATACATTTCCTTCCTCATTGTTTGTTATTCTCTCACCGTGTTATTTTCTTTACAACATTCTATAGTGGTTCCTTTCTCATGGAGAACGTGCACGAGTTCAATCTCTTCTTGCATTATTACATCGTTCAAATAATTCATTGAATAAACCGATAAATTCTACAACAATTCTACATGATGCTGCTACAGCCAAGACTATTACTACTACTACTACTACTCCTCATAGAAATATAAGTAGTATACAACAAACTACTACTACTACTGATAATTATCATCATCATCATCATCTTACTAAACCAAATAGTAGTTCACAACATAATTCACATCTCTTTGATAAATCACAATCAATGCTAGATGTGAATTTAAACAATGCTAATAATGCTGCATCACTGTCAATGAAACTAACCAACAATGATAATAATAATAATAATAATGATCCAGTCGAGAAATTTCTACATCGTAAAGATGTACAAAATTATGCATGGCCTCATTTATTATCAACTGGACAATATGAAAAGGTTGGTTTATGCATAAAAATCACTAATATTATTATTATTATTATTATTAGTTTTATGATGAATTGCATTATGGGGTTGTAAAGATTGTTAAGTTACACATTTTTTAAAAACCATGAATCGATCAATGTTAGACCAGTATTGGATACCTGGAAGCACTGGACGGCCGTTTCGTCTTGGTGGTATGGGACACACTCATCAGCAGTGCGCATTCACGATGATGAATTGTTTTACTTTTTAGATAATTTCATTTATTTTGTTTCAAAATTTCTGTACATTTAGTTTTACATGTTACAAGCAGTTTCATTTGAATCGATGAAACTCGAGCATCTTCCATGACTGGTTTTCACGGGACATTCCAGAAATGTTGTGTGTGGGAACACTTTGCTGCACCATCTTCCGTTATAGTAGTAGTGTAGTGAAGGAGAACACCACAGGTGAGGGCAACCGAATTGTATTTAGCGAAAATTACAGAGTTACTCAGTAAAATAAGAAAACCATATCGTAAACCATTAATTTGCAAAACATCAATCTATTGTCTGACATTTCAATATTCATGCGTTTCATACAAATTCCACTGTGTTCCCACTCTTCTTCCTTTCTCTTGGTCTTCCCCCATCTTCTGCTTGCTGCCAGACATTACGTTTACACTGGCGTCATATACTACTTATAAGTAGCTCGCACCACAGTAGTAGTAATAGTAATGAGATTTCTGTTTGCCCTCTCTGTCTTATCAATAGTTTGGGAGGTTGGGTCCAAGAGTCATCAGTGTGGGAAAGAGTGTGATGCAAACTCGATTGAACATTATTTTGTATTGTTGTTCCGACTTGTCTAGCTTATTATTATTGGTTAATGATAAGCACAATGAAGCTTTGAAAAAGCTACTTAAAAACGTATACCAATAACATTTCTATCTGGATAAGCCAGCATTCGCTTATAAATAAGGGCGAACGTTAAATTTATGGTTTTGTTTTGTACCCATTCCTGATTATTTACGTAAAAACTTATTGAAATAGATAATTTTTTTAATCGAAATGTTCCATGTGCTTGCTACAATCTATCACACTCAATATGTATCAAACTGATGTTTAATTTAAACTTAACACAACTAGGTTGTAAGTGATATGAAAGAGTAAATGAAAAAGTTTACAACTATTTGAGGCTATTGTGGTGGTGTTTCGTTCTCTGAGCTGTTTGTTTTGGTTGTGGAGCTTTCATTGTTCTTCTGAACAACATCATCAGCAGCACAAACTTCAGATAGAAGTGAAGCATTCGAATTTCTCCACGTTTGACTTGTAGCTTGTTCTGCTATCCTCGATCTTGATTGGTTGCTGTTGTCTTTTCACCTCTCGTTGTTTGCAACTTTGTTTTGATTGCACCCCCCTTTTGATCTGTTTCTTGATCCTATGAGTTTTCTGATTGGTTGATAGATTGAGTCAATGTCGATGTGTTTGTTGATTGCTGATTGACCTGAGTGTCAAGCTTCTAAAAATTCTCTAGTGTTCTTTGTCCTCCACCTACCCAGTATTTCCACGTTGTTCCAATCAAATGTGTGTCCATAGTTGTCGGTGTGTATTGATGTAAGCGAAGCGTTGTCGTGGCGTTTGACTGCTAATTGATGTTCACGTAAACGGAGTTGATGAAGAGGTCGTCCACTTTGTCCTATGTAGTATTTTTCACAGTTTGAGCAATTTATTTTGTACATGATATTTGGTTTTTCTTCCTTTTTCATTTTGTCCTTTGGTCTACAACATAGGATTGATTGAAGTGATTCTGTTGGTTTATTATGTGCCACACACCTATTCCAAATGGTTTCAGTAGTCGTGCTGTATGCTCCGATATGTCTTTGAGGCTATACTTGTTATAAAAGCTGTGAACTAAGAAGTAATTATTCTTTTCAATGAATAACTTGGCAATGCTAACTTATTACACATGGAATTAATATATTAGTCAACGGCAATTTTGTGTACACAAAATAACTTTATGTAGATTTTTTTTTATAAAATTTACAGTTCAATAATGTATTTGATTGCTTTCATCAATTGACATTAGGTTGTGAATTTCAAACCTTACATGTTTCAGTCTAAACATTATAGGTACTATATTACTTACTATTCAACACAGTGAGTCTGTTGCTACTGGTCAGTCAGTCAGTCAGTTGCAACATAGAACTTCGTACGTATGTACATAAGTTCATGTTGCCAAACCACATTAGCACAGAAACGCAAATGTCAAATCAAATCCCATAGTGATGAACATAGTAGAGGTATGAATGGTAATGAAGAAGAATAGGGTTCGAAGATATTATTCAAGAAGTATAATTCAGTGAGATAAGGTTAGAAAGACAAAGGTAGAGGTGCTGACGATTCCAGAAGATTAGGATTTGAGAGAGCTCAACGAATGGATGCACTTGCGCCACCGCAAACGATTTTGAGCCATGTCGTTCAAGGTCTCTCACCATTGGTGACTTTCGTACTACTGGTCAACAAAAATAGAATGCATTTTAGAAATAAAAGGATAGTATATTGTGATGAAGAAACAAGCAAGGTATGTAGAAACCACAATTAAAACAATGAATGGACAAAATTTAGTATACAAAGAAACATGCAGTCCAATTAAAAGCACAACCAAGAAAAGGAACTTCTTTCAGTTAACTGAGCTCCTCTCATTTTTCTGAAGAATGTAGACTATTATTGTTGTAACGCTTACTTAGATAATTCCCGGCTAATTCCTATTGCTTAGTATTCTCTGACCACAATACACTGGACACGTTCCAAAGAATCACGAACACGGTGGAACAGGAAAAAATTATATTCCAAATAGCAAGGTTAGACGGAAATAAGAAGCAGAAGGCGAAGGCAAAATAGATACAACGTTAGTTTCTTTATAGTATTTACATGAGGAGCTTCTGGATAGTAATTCACATGATCGACTGGATTAGATTTAGCCAATCAGAGTGCAGTTAGCAACACCCTGTTCTCCAAGAGTCGATCAGGCGCTGATTGGATAAGAAATCAGCCAATCAGCGCGCAGCAACGTAGTCATGCTTTAATTCCATCTATGTCCCATTAACAATTATTATGATAGAACAGCTAATGACTTCGATTCTGAACCGTTGTAGAATTTTAAAATATCTTTAGAAGTTCAGAAAATACTAAGAAATGTTTCACTTAATCAGCATTGAATAGTAGCTCTTCAAAAGTATCTAGAAAAATCAAGGACCCCCGTTTGTCACTGTTTTGATTGGTTAGCTACCTTTACCTTCATTATGTTTTAGTCTGTTTCGAAAAAGTTCCAGAAAACTGAAATCACACACAACTATATGATTACATTCAATCAGTATTCTGTACATGAACTAACCTTAGAGTAAAAGGCTTATTAGAAATAGTCCGGGTTATAAGAAGTAGCAAGAAAATCAGTTTTATGTCCCAGTAAACAGAATTATCATGAACCACCACACCTGATAGTGTCTCAAGCCACTAAAAGTTTTACTATCTCTCAGATCCCAACCACCAAAATGTAATAGACCAATGGGATGCCAGTTCCATACAATTTTTCTTTAATACAACTAATCATGTCTCCGTTTTTTTTGCGCACTTCCTACAACAAGACTAACATCACAACAACACCAAAGATGACCAGTGTAGATTTGACGGAGAATGCTTTAACCTTTCACTATGCATATAGACTAGTTTCATTGATCAAGCCTCATTCCAATTCCACTCACACAACTAGTTAAGTAGATCAATTTCGTGTATTTATTGATTTTTCTCTCTCTCTCTCTATCATACTACAGGCTTCCACTATATTATATGATGAAGCATGTAAAGAATTTCAATATTTAGGACGTCGTAAAACTTTATTCAGTTTGGCTAAATTAACTTATTTAACAACAACCACAACCACAACAACAAGAAATCATTTGAATTCATTAATGACGACAGATCAACAATCATTATCCGAATCAATATTTACTACTACTAATACTAATAATCATGAACAACAACAACTAGGAGCTCGTCGATATGTTGGCGAAGAAGAAGAAGAAGAAGACGACGATAAGCGGAAAGAGAAACAAGATTCATTTCTATTGAAAATTAATGCCTACCTCGATTGGATTTCATTACAGGTTTGAAAATATGGCTTGATTGCCTGATTGATTGATTTGTTTTTGGGTTTGTTTTTTTTTCGCTTTGGTTTGGTTTTCGTTTTATTTAAAATGATTGAACCGTTAGATACCGGCTCAGTGGTCTATCGGTTAGGGCGTTCGTGCATAATACCGAAGGTCCTAGGTTGGAATCCTGCGGGGTGCAGGAGTCGTGGATGCGCACAGCTGAGGATTCGCATACCAGGACGAAACGGCCGTCTTTCAGTGCTTCCAGGTTTCTAATGGTGGTCTAACATTGATCGGTTCATGGATTCAAAAATGTGTAACTTAACAATCTTCACAACCCCGTAATGTGAATTGTGTGAGTCAATAATCAGCTACAACGTAGAACTTTGTACGTACGTACGTACTTCCCGACCCATCGTAGCTGCTACCTTGATGTGGTGGTCGGACTTGCCTATCGTGATGACTTAACCGAGCTATATTGGATGCAATAATGCCATGCAGGTAGATTGGAGAACGATGAGACTAAAAGTAACTACTCAAGGTTTGAGGGCGAGGTTGTACCGCTGACTTAGAGGGGTGTGACAACAGTAAGGTGTTTCCCTCGAACAGCCAGCATCTGCAACGATGCTGGCTTTTTCACAAGGAAGGAAAGGGTTAGAAACGGTCTACCGTAAAATTGTCACACCTCACCCTACCTCACGGATTTCCATCTCCGGCGGTAAGGCCTTTTAAACAAGAGCGAAGCTACCAATTTAAATACTACCCTTAAAAAGGTCGTGCGTGACCGGCATCAAGCAGTTGTCCCTTGGACTCTGCGGTCACGCTCCTAGGTCGTTAAGGCCAACATTAATCTACCTTCCTTTTCAGGTTCCTCAAGGAACACTCTTCCACGTTGTGGTCAACCGGGAAGGAACATATTCCCTCATACCCTCGTAACAGCAGACGAGACCAAATTGGTCATAGGTTAAAAAAAATTGTGTGTACATACGTACATCAGAGTTCAAGATACCATACTACACTGGCACAGACAGATTGAATTTTCAATTCAAATCTGATAGTAGTAGAAGTATTAACAGTAATCAGAGAAAAAATCATAGAAAGAGAAATATAAAAGCGATAAGGAAATCAAAAGATTAGAATTCGAAAGAACGGACTAAGAAAAGATGCATTTATGCCATCACAGACGATTTTGAGCCATGTTATTCAAGGTCTCTAACCATCGGTTACTAATCATCTCACAGACCCACATTGTATGAGTAATTCTCTTTTTTTCGTTAGTCACAGTGTATAAATAATATTAATTCCTCAATCAAACCAAAGGAATATTTAGCTTTTGTCATAGATCTACCTCTCTTTCGTATTCAACTTTTAATTTAATAGCATGCTAATATGGAGTAAAAGACAAAATGCAGAGTCTTCTGACTACCTTGAGCAACAATACAAGCATGTTCGGGATGCGGCTTTGCCCCTCGCAATGCAAAATGTTGCTTCGAGATTGGGTTGCATCGGCACCTGAACTAGTGATAGGGAGTGATGTAGTCGAACGTGTAGACCGCTTCACTTATCTTGGGAGTCTCATCAGTGCCGATGGCCTGGTGACTGACGAAATCTCAGCTCGGATACAGAAGGCTCGATTGACTTTTGCCAACCTGCGTCACTTATGGCGTAGGCGAGATATCCGTTTGCTGACTAAAGGACGAGTGTACTGCTCAGTAGTTCGCTCCGTCTTACTTTATGGCTGTGAAATATGGCCAATGAGAGTAGAAGATATTCGTAGGTTACTGGTTTTCGATCATAGGTGTCTTCGAAGCATTGCTCGTATATCCTGGGACACCCGAGTGAGCAACGCTGTTATTAGGAAACGGGTGCTAGGTAAGAATGGCAGATCAATAGATGAAGTAATGAAACTTCATCAGTTGAGGTAGTTGGGATATGTGTTGCGTATGCCTAACCACCGACTGCCTCGAAGAGCTTTGTTTTGTAGTGTAGGAATAGGTTGGAAGAAAGTTAGGGGCGGCCAAACCAAAACATGACAGAAATCCATGAAGTCATTGACGAGTGGACTTAGCCATATCGGTAATTGTCGACTACCTGGTTAGGGTCCGCGAGATGATAATAATCGATGGTTAGAGACCTTGAATGACATGGCTCAAAATCGTTCGCAATGGCGCCGGTGCATTTATTCTTTGTGTTCTCTCAAATCCTAATCTTCTGTATTCTTCAACCCCTCTAGTTTCGACTCTCTAAACGTTTCTCACTGAATCATACTTCTTTAATAATATCTTCTAATCCTAACCTCTCCGATTACTTCTAATACCTTAACTACATCTACTACTATTGGATTTGAATTGACAATTATATCTGTGTGCTGATGTAGTATGACATCATGAAATGATGTACTTATGTACGAAGTTCTACATTGCATCTTAATATGGACTAAAAATGCAGAATAATTATACTACGTAATACAACATAACCCGTGATTGTTAAATGCATGTATTTATTTATTTAAACACATTATTATTATTGGTATAAAAAGGCAGCTGAGTCAATGAATTTGCCAATGGTATGGGATACTATCTAGCTGCCTGAACCAAAGCAGGTAGTCTCTTTAGGGAGCCACATCCCTCCCTGAACCTTTGATCTACTTGCCTAGTCCACAAGGCAGTGAGTGGCTCAGCGTAAGGAACTTCAGTCTGATAGTAGCCGGTGCCCCAACACTATTAGGTTCATACGTCATTTGTTCCGTGAGGGGATCCTGACACCCATTCGCATCACTGGTTTAGATCCAATGTTTTCTAACTCCTCTCAATTTCGTAAATAACACCTACATCACGAGAAGGTAGTAAGTGGGACTTCTTTGTCAGTGACTATATACAGCACTGGGAGTGGGAAAGAAAGCTAGGGGCGGCCAGACCAAAACATGGCAGAAATCCATGAAGTCACTGACAAGTAGACTGAGTCATGTTGGTAGATGTAGACTACCTGGTTGGGGTCCGCGAGACGAAAGTCACCGATGGTTAGAGACCTTGAACGACATGGCTCAAAATCGTTTGCAATGGCGCAAGTGCATCCATTCTTTGAGCTCTCTCAAATCCTAATCTTCTGGATTCGTCAGCACCTTTACCTTTGTCTTTCTAACCTTATCTCACTGAATTATACTTCTTGAATAATATCTTCAAACCCTAGTCTTCTTCATTACCATTCATACCTCTACTATCTTTATCACTATGGGATTTGATTTGACATTTGCGTCTCTGTGTGTTAATGTGGTATGGCAACATGAACTTATGTACATACGTACGAAGTTCTACGTTGCAATTGACTGACTGACTGACTGAAGGGGGAAAGAATATTCTCCGCACTTTGGGCTGTACCAGGGCATTATTATTATTATTCTAACTAAGCAATAGATTCAATTTACCTGTAAAACACTTTAGATAGATAGGTATTCAACAAGACAACGTCAAGGTGTGTACAACTAATCTTGAGCAAACTGATACTCCTTCGAAGACAATGAGAAAGATACTGTTCATGATAAAATGCTTTTTTTTGCCAATAGTATGATAGTCACAGTGTAGTGAACGAGAACACAGGTGAGGGCAACCGAATTGTATTTAACGGAAATTACAGAGTTACTCAGTAAAATAGGAAAACCATATCGTAAACGGTTAATTTGCAAAACATCAGTTCATCATATCGAACTGGACTGTTCCTGTTGCAAAACATCTAATCCATTGTCACTATTCATGCATTTCATACAAATTCCATTGTGTTCCCCCTCTTCTTCCTTTCATGATGTGTCCCCCATCTTCTGCTGCCAGACATTACGTTGACACTCACATCATACTATATACTACTTATAAGTAGCTCACACCACAACAGTATTGTGATTGTTTTGTTCCATGTTCATTTTCACTGTTTTTTTGTTTTTCAGGAATTAATTGATTTAAATCATACTAAATCAGAATCAACTTTTGACAACAACAATAATAACAATAAAACATTATCTGATGTTGATTGTAATGCACGATATAAACGTGTATTGTCAATACCAGTGCTAATCCGTCTATCTGTCAATTATGCTGTATCACTGAATGAAACATTGAATAAAATGCATCATCCTAACGGCGTAGATGACACTGACAATGATGATGTTGATGATGTTGATGTTGATGTTGATGAACCAATGTCAAATGGCAATAATGTAAAACAACATTATTTATCTGAAATGATTATGCATTTTCGACGTGCTTTCATGTTAATTGATATTTTAGAAATTTTATTAGATTTAAGACCAATCAGTAGTAATAATAATACTACTGGTGATGCTGATGATGACGATTGCCATAATCCAATGAATGTACGAGATGAATTGCTATTGCATATTTGGTGTCAAGCAATTCGTATGGATGAGTAAGTCACTTATAAATAATCATGTATGTATTTATTAATAATTTAATTACTGTTACGCTTGTCACTAAGTATGCTTGAGGCTATTACGAGTTTACCTTAGTCGATAAACGCGAACGAGACAAATGAACCAGTGTCTAGGTAGGCTACCCTAGAATCCCCAGGCTGAAGTAAAAAGGCTTTGTAAGCGTAGAAAGTATATTCTACAAACACCCAGCAATCACACAACACAATCAAGCATACAACTCTCGTTTATTTATACTACATAGAAACGTCCTTGAGACAGTTACGCAAAATAGCACACTAAAATACACAGCAGCCAATCACAGCCATGGATTCTCCTGGTGGGAATTGAAATCTCAAGGTCAACTGATCAGTCCATGCTGGCAACCGTTAAATCCAAAATAAGGCATTTATCAAGCGAATTTTGGGGATCTAACATCCCCAACAATTACGTGGTTGTAAAAATTGTTAAGTTACACATTTTGAAATTATGAATCGATCAATGTTAGACACCAGCATTAGAAACCTGGAAGCACTCGACTGCCGTTTCATCCCGGTGGTATGGGACACATTCATCAGTAGTTCTCAGCCACGACTCCTGCACCTCGCAGGATTCGAACCTTAAGACCTTCGGTTTTGCGCGCGAACGCCTAACCTAATTTAATTCACATTAGGAGCATCTGTTTCAGTTGAACAACATGTGACTCTTTATAACTGGGTCGTACCGGATTTTGTACAATGAAACAACTATGATATATCACTATCTCACTTTTGACCTGATATGCAATGCCACCAATCATCATCATCGTCATGCTAAATTGTAAATTGAATGTGAATTACTTAATGTCCGACTCATTGTTTTCAAGGTTTAAACATCCACTTGAAAAGTTTAAAAAAAGTCACTAGATTCAATGTCTGATCAAGTTCATGGGTACTCATTGCTAAATGTGATACTATAGTAAGGTGGTTGTTGCTCTTTATTTTTTCATGGTAACTTTAACTGGTAAAATCATCTGTCTCCTCTGTCAAAGTAATAATTTTTATAATTGGATTTTAAGTCACAATGAAAACATTAACAGGATTCGAATGTGTACCCAATGAACTAATCTCATCCATAATTCTATTAAAAAAAATATCAGCTGTCTATCATTATAATCAGCTTCTAATATAATGATCATACTATCGAAGTATTGTTGTAATTATTTGGTTGTTATTACCGTGTTAACTTCATATCCGTTACTTAATTGTATGTTTAGTAGTGAGTTATACATATTGAAATTATTTGATAGAAACCTATCCAACTAATACCAGATATCTTTTGCCCATGTTATTTGTTACGCCTGCATGTAAACACGTCAACTTGATACACTTGAACTATTACGAGTTTACCCTAGTCGGGAAACGAGAGCGAGGATCGAGGATCCGGTGACACGACATACTACTCTAATCCAATTATCCCAGCCCCCCATATTGAATAAAAATAAGAAGACAAGACTTGATATGAAGTAGAACCTGTATTCTACAAGCATCCAGAAAGTACGAGGTCCGAATCCAGAAGAGAATCAGGATTCCGGACTAGGGATTCGAGATCAGGTCCTGGTCCTGGTCATAAAACGTTACAAATAATGCGTATTGATACATTTCGGTCGAATAGGAAACATCATCGAAGTTTGTGACATTGGTAGTTAAGACGACCAGTCGGAAGCAACATTTGAAGTGACATCGATAGTCTGGACAACTAATAAGAAACAACATTGGAGCACGTGACACTGATATTTAGGACGACCATAAAATTGACCAATAATTCTCTTGGGATATTGGATGAATATCCTAACATTATTCCTCATAATCTTCTACATAGGAACTGATAAGCCAATTTTGCATAGGGAAAGAGTTCACCTTGTTTGCAAGAATCGTACATTAATTATTTAAAATACATTAGATTCAGCCTCATTGTATTACCTTATGTGTGTATCATAAGATGATCCCCTGATAATCATAACATCTAGTACGCTAGTTAGAACTGAAAAAAATCCAAACTATTGAGTTGTGTGATTATATTTCTCTAGAGTTATGTCTTAAGACATAGTCAACAAAAAGACTCTGTTTGACTTAGATTTGGGGCTAGTTATCGTCTGTTGTTAACAAAGCGTTTAACTTGTAGTATGTGTGTGTGTATAAATATATCGAGCCCATAGGGATTTCCTTAGCTTTCGGACAAACTAATTAACCCATTTTGTACCAAAGTTATTATTTATGCGCGTGTGACCTTGTCAATTATTTGCTCATAACCTTGGTTGTTTTCACTTGAGTCCATATGAACATTGCTTACTTCATTGTCAACTGGAGCTTATTTTTCTCTGATTTATATAGATACTTCATCATGCCTTATCTCAGTTGGAGTTGGTTCTTTCTACTTCTCTACTTCGTTTAACTTTGGTTTTATGCTCTATATATTCTCATGTCTGTCTGTCTGCTTGAATGATTGCATGAAATAAACTCATCCAACTGAATCCTTATTTGACTTTCTATTAAAGCCGTCGCACCCTAAACGGAGTTCTCCTAAGTTATGATTTATGGAAATTGAAGGGAAGATTTATTTCATAGCATTTTCGAGCTTTCATACGAATAGGGGTCATATCTCGGGCCATTAAATTAGTGAGCTCTACTTTGACGTTAACGCTTACTTACTTACTTATTTACACCTGTTACCCTCAATGGAGCATAGGCCGCACACCAGCAGCATTCTCCAACCAACTCTGTCCTGGGCTTCCTTCTTCAGTTCTGTCCAATGTTTGTTCATTCCTCTCATATCTTTCTCTAATTCTCGGCGTAATGTGTTCCTTGGCCTTCCTCTTTTCCTTTTGCCTTGAGGGTTCCATGTGAGGGCTTGTCTCGTGACGCAGTTAGGTGCTTTTCGTAGTGCGTGTTCTATCCACTTCCACCAACACTTCTTCCTGATTTCCTGCTCCACTGGAATCTGGTTTGTTTTCTCCCACAGTAGGTTGTTGCTGATCGTGTCTGGCCAACGAATACGAAGTATTTCACGTAGACAACTGTTAATAAACATTAACGCAACCACTAGGAACTGTAATCTTCAGAGAGAGAACTACTCCTTGATACGTTCATAAATCCACTATTTCTGTTATTATTATTATTATTATTAGTATTATTATCTGTGTGATTTATTTTATGTATGTATGATATTATAATATTAATTATAGATGGTCAACCGCTGGTGATATTCATGATCCTATTCAAATATGTACACAAAGTTTTATATGTGCACTTGTTTCAAATCTTTATAAAAATGGTAAGTTCTATCCTATCTGTCTAATTCAATGATGGATATTTGTCCTCGTCACTTGATATGCTTGAAACTATTACGGGTTCACCTTAGTTAGGAGCGGCCAAACCAAAAAACATGGCAGAAATCCATGAAGTTATTGACAAGTGGACTTAGCCATGTCGGTAATTGTCGACTACCTGGTTGAGGTCCGCGAGATGATAATAATCGGTGGTTAGAGACCCAGAATGACATGGCTCAAAGTCGCTTGCAATGGCGCCAGTGCATTTATTCTTTGTGTTCTCTCAAATCCTAATCTTCTGGATTCTTCAACACTTCTAGTTTTGACTTACTAAACTTTTCTCACTGAATCATAGTTCTTGAATAATATCTTCTAATCCTAACCTCTCCGATTACTTCTAATACCTTTAATACCTCTTATACTATTGGATTTCAATTGACAATTACACCTGTGTGTGTTGATGTGGTATGGCGACATGAACTGATGTACTTACGTACGAAGTTATACGTTGCATCTGACTGACTGACTGAGTACGGGTTCACCTTAGTCGATAAATGAGAATGAGACAATGAACCAGTGACACCTTATGCTACTCTGATCGGTTTCCCCAAAGGAACTAACGAAGAAGTCTTGATATAGCGTAGAAAGTGTATTCTACAAACACCCAGCAAACACAATCAATCAAGCACACAAATCGCGTTTATTTATACGTCATAGGAACGTCCTTTAAGAGTTACAAATATATCACACAGGCAAGGATTTTCCGGGTGGGAAATGTGATCTCAAGGTCAACTGATCGACAGATGAATAAAATCCAAAATTAAGACATTTATCACGCGAGTTCTGGAGATCTAACGTTCCCAAAAATATAGCGAGAGAAAGGGAGAGGAGAGTCCCACAAATCTATCCGACGCACTAACTCCAACATTCCTTAAACAATTGAGAAGAAGTATTGAAGGATAGGATATTCTCACATGTTTTTTTTTACACTGGTTACTTGTGATCACATTTCTAGGTAATAAGATATTATTCTAGAACAGTCTATTTAAAATTTGTATTTTCCTATCATTATTTCTAGGTGTTGATGTAATTTCTTTATTACCAAGTCCAGAGCAATTATTTGCTGCGGATGAATTGATCGATTTAGTCAAAAATCCACAATTTCATTATCTTATTGAATCTGGTTTTGAACATATGCGAAATCTTTTATTAACAAAACAAAATTCAACTTCATCAATACAAGATGTTTTAATGACTGATTTATGTGTATAGAATATAATTTTAACTATATATGTATGTATGTATGTATGTATTGATCTATTCTAAGATAACTTGTTTTCCTAGATAAAATATATGTATAATAAATTTATTGTTTTTGACATGCTGATCGATTTCTGATTACTATGGGACAAGTCGTGAAATTAGACCCTACCCGTGTTACTACTAGATACAAACTTCCTGAGTCAATCTCCCGTGGTGTAGTGAAGGAGAACTCCACAGGTGAGGGCCACCGAATTGTATTTAGTCGCAAATTACAGAGTTACTCAGTAAAATAGGAAAACCATATCGTAAACGGTTAATTTGCACATCATCAATCCATTGTCTGACATTTCACTATTCATGCGTTTCATACAAATTCCATTGTGTTCCCACTCTTCCTTTCTTGATCTTCTTCGCCCATCTTCTGCTGCCAGACATTACGTTGACGCTCACGTCGCATACTACTTATAAGTAGCGCGCACCATAGTGGTACTGTTAATTAGCATTCAGAAGAATTTAGTGACATGACACACCTCAGACATATCTTAAAGCCCATGCGATTAAATGGATAAATGTCAAGGGAAATATACGAGGCAACTTCATCTAGTTTAATCCACACTAAAAGGAGCGCATATAAAAATAGGGGTGATCGTCGAAAAGTAGGTGGAACAACACTTTTGTAATGATATGAAATATGTTCGTTTACACTGTATCCCTTCACTTTACAACCAATCAGAAACGTATTTTCTAAACGTTTGATTAAAAGCCTACTTTCAAACTTGCTAACTAATCATTATTGCTATCACGCTAGTTGTTATTTCGTGTGCCTTTTTTGAACAGTTAGGGGTTAGTCTATTTTTAAAGGTGTTTTGAAAATGCTTGGGAGATTTTTGGGGAAATTCACTTAAGGTTTTAAGTACCAAAGATGGCCTCTTTTTAAATTAACAATTCATCCTAGGCATTCGTCATCATATGTATCCCCGATAACCCTGTCCTTTGTGCTATTCAGCGAAGCTTAGTCAACTATACTCTGACGATTGTTGACTTCTGTGACCATATGATTGTTAACTGAGACTATCACTAATTAATTTGCTAAGCATAAAGGTTGAAACAGTTTTCTGAGTTAGCTAGCTTAAGTTTCAAATCAGATTACAATTCCGCCGCAGTGGCGGGAAGCAGTTCATCATTTCAGTTTCATACAGAAATGTGTACATAATTTACTGAGTTATAATTAGTCTGTTGTGTCCTGTAGATTGATTTGATTAGGATATGCGATTCCTATGCTTATCAAACCCACTGTTAATGAAATTACTGAATTGTACTGTACACAAATCACAGATATACATATCTTTGTCCTTTTGACTCTGACAAAGATATCGAGGGACAGTTGTGTTGCAAAGAATAATAAATGTGCGCATTCTCAACAATCCAGCCATCACAAACGCAGACTGAAGTTCACGGTTTTATATTGCATTTTAAAATTGAGTGTTTCAAAGTCTTTTTATTCACTCTTTGAGTGTCTAAATTAAGAAAGATACAGTAATATTGTGAACTGTCTGCCACGTGCGAAACTCCCACTTATTCCGCCATCTAGCTCTACCTTTGAGTTCCCCAAGATTGCGTCCCATTACCAACCTAATCGGGAAATTTATTGACTCTAAAAACATGTAATTTATCATTACATTTTAACTTTCGCAAACTGATTCACCCTTGAGCACTATCGGGATTTTTACGTGACCTTGAACGGCTTGGTTGACAGTCGTTATTTTGAGTTTGAGTTGATTGTTAAAGATTAGATAGGGTATTCTACTGTCAGACTATCTAAGGTTGCACTTCACATTACCAAAACTATGTTTGCTCGAAAATTCTTTATCTCAGTATTGTAAAGCTTTAAATAATAGTGTACCAACATTGCCAAATACTTTCCAACTTAGGGTTAGGGTTTAGTAGTATCCTCTGTGAGATTAAACAAGCATCAGAATTTCACGTTTTGCCAAACGTGGGAAAACTAAGTAAAACGTGGTTTGATTTATAAGTATGTAAAGGAAACTCATTGTTGCTTTTGATAGAATTAATCTTTCTCTATTAAAAATAGCTGACAAACCAATATAACTCTTTAAAATACTTACATACCCTTTCTCTATAATACTTCCCGTAAACATTCATCGCATATATTGAAAAGATCATTGTACAGAGATACCAAAACCTAGGCCTAGATCTTCTTCTAATACTAACAATTCGACACTAATGCTTCTATAAAGCTGGAGTCATATTTGGTCCTTTTTCTAATCGGCCTACAGAATTCGGACATTAAAATATGCTGTACATCTTTAACCGTAGACAATGATTTGAGTGCTAAATGTATCAAGCTAAGATTCGCGGATAACATGTCAAAACTCTGTTGACAACGATATCGGAGATAAGCGTTTTGTCGTATAAAGTTCAATTCGTTCTAGGGTGATTCCTCTATGGTTGAGCAGGACTACTTTGAGTTACAGGAAGTTAGATCTATGTTGTCAGAAATCTTACAAGTCTTCGTCATCCACTTTTTGGTAGGCTTCAAACTTGGTGGTGACTTAGTTGCTGGAAAGTCGGCATTATTGTATTATCATCTAGTACATTGGGTTGCCTTACGTGACAATTTTTCACAAACACAATTATAAGTTATCCTGTGCCTGCTGTAAGTAATTAAGAACTGCTACGCTTGCAAGCCCTTTTGACAGTTGACTCAATACCATTAATCAAAAATTACTAATTGGACTACTGAAACTACAGGCTTATCCAACAAAACGTAACGAATGTTGTCCTAATATCCAATATCTTTTTCACGAGTTAGTATAAACCAGTTGACTTATTTGAGTTCGATTCTTGATCTTTCGGTACGGTTCCATGTGTTTGGTAGAGTCCAATGGATGGGGTCTTGCCACTCGACCATTTAATTCCAGGCAGTTGGCAGTTGTTTGTGAGTTTGCGTGTCTCGTGATTTTACTGAAAACATTTGTTTCAGCGCAGTTCGGTTTCTTGATACCAGCAGCGATTACATCACCAGACAAGAGATCAGTTATTTGCAATGTGGAGAATAATAATCGGAAAATTCTAATGCTAGTAAGATTTGAGAACTAAGTAAATAATTAGATGATTTAGTTTAATAATTGGTAATGATGATTGTTATAGAGGACCAAAGAGTAATGGAGGGAGAAGAATCAGAGATAATAGGCGAGATAGATTAAGTTAGTGATCTGAGGTGTCAATAATAACAAGAGAGTCTCAAGGCATGCATCAGACACAGCTCTACACGACGGAAATGATAATCCGTATGTGGGTACGTGCCTATCAAGTCCCTTCTCAAAGCTGTCCACTGGGGAGGCTGCAACCACCTCGTATGGGAGAGAATTCCAAGTTGCAACGATTCTTAGCGATAAAAAGTATGCACGAACCTGAGTATTCGTATTTGAGGATTGCCTCGAGGAGAGTGGCGGTGATGCGTTGGTAAGATGCTCATGTTGGGATGGTTTAGAGTGCTTGATATGTTGTAAGCCATATTCGGATCACCTCTAATCCTCCTGTAACTCAGTGGGAATAATTCCAAGTTCTGGAGTTTATCTTCGTAAGGTTTCTTCTTCACTCCTATCAACCACTACCTTGCTCGTCTCTGCACTCGATCCAAAAGACTTATGTGTCTTTCGAGGAGAGGAGGTAAGGTGACATTAGGAACCTCAAGGTGCGGGCGTGAATATGTCTTAAACAACGTTAAGATTAATTCTGAGGTTATAGCACCAATTTATCTTCGCATAAAGTGAAGAGTTGCATTCGGCTCGAGTGGAAATGCAGTTTCTTATTTTAACCACTGGGCTCTAACCAAATTACTTAAGATAAGAAATATTATTTTACTACCACTCTTAGTTAAAACGATAGACTTGAGGACTACTACTGTTTATATCGTTCAGGAAATAAAACCTTGACTATTTCGCACCTTGATCCTGAAATCGCACTGACCTTTACAGCGCAGCCTTTAAACTGCCCTCTCAAGGTCATGGGGACCTCAATAATTTCTACTTGAAACGTATCTGTTACAAAACAGACTAATGCATGTAATGTCTCTATTTCTTTATTGTTCCCAAAATTTCGGCGCCTGAATCCATCTTCTGTCTGCTTTTAGTAACTTTTTCAAAAAGCTGGTACTAAAGTTCATTGAGCTGCATAGATAAATTACATTGTGTCTTCAAATATAGTCTGGTCAAACGAATCTTTAATATACTGGGACTTATTAGATACTGTTTATTGCATGAAGAAGTTCATAATCACCCGATTTCACGACTTCGAGGGTTTAAAAAAATAATGTACTTGTAGTACTCAGTATTTTTCGAAGCATACATCTAGTCACTTGAGGAGAAGTTTTGTCTCAGCTATGATGTACCATTCGGCTGGCGTTGGCTGTGCTAAACTCTTAAAAATCACAGTCTGTAAACCATAATACGTTTAGGAACTACTGTCAGAAATTAATTGTGTATTCATCACGATCTGACCTTAGCTACGCTAAAAAGACCTTAGACTACATACTCTTACGGTAAAAAAATTTTTTCAATTTGTTATATGGGTAGTTTTCAAAGTTCTGTAGTGTCGTATAGTTTTACCAATGCTTATATTAACTAGAGTTCTTTCTGTGTTAGATAATTTTCTGGAATATCATTTTCCTTCTACAGTGAATAGCCTTACAGTTTATGACCATGAAGCATATTTCTACTAGTCATCTATGTCATTCCAATAACCACCCATAGATGTAGCTTCGAGAAACAATAATTTGCTTATTATCTGAATCTAAGTGTAGATACACTATATAATACTCTGAAAATTTGATCTCATACGTACAAACTATTAGTTTTCAAGTGCATGCACTAAATATCTTACTTTAAAAATAATGAGGCAGATAAAAATCTACTTTTCAAAGTCCGGGTGACATGAATGAAAATAAATCTCATTGATTAGATTCAAATATGTATTATCCTTATGAGGATAAACATTATCGTATTCCTTATCTTATCACTCTTTGTCTTAACTGAAATTACTCTCAGAATGCTTCATTACAGTTTTTAATTAATAATTCCATACTATCTTATGTCTAAATCTAAACAAATACTGTTTTTTGGAGTACAGTAGTTAGTTTACTTCTGCTATTCGATAGTTCCTACTATTCACATCAATAAGAAACCATATCTTAGTCTAGATATTAACCTTATCTGTTAAGGCAACTCTGAAGTTCAGATATCCATAATTTGGTCATTTAATTACTTAATTGCTCTTAAACTTTTAATCTTTCAGGATTTAGAACATCAATCATTAAAACCAATTAATGAAGTCGCGATACGGTATTACAACTTAAAATGAAGGTAATTCAAACAAATAATAATTGTATGCTGTATATAATGGTGAATCATTTGTATTTTTTTTTTAAATCACTTATACGACTACATGCATACTCTTTACCTGTTCCACTTATGGTACAAATCAAATATTCTTGTACCTAGAAAACGACAAGCATTTGAAGTTGTAAATCTTTAAGTTCTAAGATCAAAAGTATGCACTAGCTGCTATTATTTGATCTTATTCAAGTACATAATACTGTTTTTTCGGTGTAGAGTAATAGGTCAATGTGGTAGTTGTATGAAAAACATGTAATATCTAAAGCCACTAGTATGCATTTGTCAAAACAAAAGCACACTAATCCTCCAGTTAGTGGAACTACGGTTTAGAGTTTTTGTTTTGTTCACTAGCACTCTTGTTTTTATAAGTAGGATCTAACGTCAATTGAATGCTACTCTCTAACTGTACGAAGTTCGTTTACTACAAATATATACAGTCAGTCAGTCAGTTGCAACGTAGAACTTCGTACGTAAGTACATCAGTTCATGTTGCCATACCACATCAGTACAGAGATGTAATTGTCAATTCAAATCCAATAGTAGAAGAGGTAGTTAAGGTATTAGAAGTAATCGGAGAGGTTAGGATTAGAAGATATTATTCAAGAAGTATAGATTCAGTGAGAAAAGTTTAGAAAGTCAAAATTAGAGGTGTTGAAGAACCCAGAAGATTAGGATTTGAGAAAACACAAAGAATAAATGCACCGGTGCCATTGCAAGCGACTTTGAGCCATGTCATTCAAGGTCTCTAACCATCGATTATTATCATCTCGCGGACCCCATCCAGGTAGTCGACAATTACCGACATGGCTAAGTCCACTCGTCAATGACTTCATGGATTTCTGCCATGTTTTGGTTTGGCCGCCCCTAGCTTTCTTCCAACCTATTCCTACACTACAAAACAAAGCTCGATGATAATACCTTGTTAATTAAAGTAGTATGGTCAGGGTGAATATAAACCTTATTCATTGATTAAGAATCAAGCTACCAGATCACTGGTTGGTTGTTTTACATTTACTGTTGTAGATATATTATTCACTATCTGTTTCATACTCAAGAATAATATATGGGAAATATCTATTATAATGGATAGTCAAACTATCTTATGAGTCAAATCTATCCAAGTAGAACATGTACTAAATTCAAAACCTTTCAGACTAAAAACCGAATTCATGATCCCACGAGTTTCAAGACTAAAAATTATTACATACAAAGTAAAAACTAATACCTTACAAAAATAACAAAACTTACCTTGTATCAATCTAATCTTATTCATAAAGGCCAGTAAATCACTCTTACTGTATAACTACAATGAACTATAATCATCTCTTTTCTTGTTATTTCTTTCTACACAACTAGTGTAGCTCTATAGTAGTTCCTTCTTACTCTTACATTTCATATTATTTTTATTACAGATGATTTACTTACTTATTGAAAAAAAACTGAAATGAATTCAAGTGGTTTATTTAAAGCATCATTCACATGTTTATCACAATTTCCTACTTTTATACGTTCAATTATGAATGTGGTATTTTTTGGTAGTGATCATTATGCATTGCCTCATTTACGGGCTTTGGAAGAACGTCAATCTCAGCATAAAGATATTCAATTACTATTTGTAGTTACTACTTCAGATAAAACTCCTATTGGATATCATTGTATTCAGAATAAAATAGGTATGTCAAGAGTTTAATGAGTCTAACAACAACAACAAAAGTTTAAGTTGAATAAATGAATTAGGGAATTTTCATTTGAATGCTAATAAAACTATTTACAATAACTTCCATATAAACTCTTGGTTCAGTTTTATACCATCCAAGCTATGAGATGTAATATTACATAAACTATCTATATGAGTTCAGTCAGTCAGTCAGTCAGATGCAACCTAGAACTTTGTACGTAAGTACATCAGTTCATGTCGCCATACCACATCAGCACACAGATGTAATTGTCAATTCAAATCCAATAGTAGTAGAGGTAGTAAAGGTATCACAAGTAATCGGAGAGGTTAGGATTAGAAGATATTATTCAAGAAGTATGATTCAGTGAGAAAAGTTTAGTAAGTCAAAACTAGAAGTGTTGAAGAATCCAGAAGATTAGGATTTGAGAGAACACAAAGAATAAATGCACTGGCGCCATTGCAAGCGACTTTGAGCCATGTCATTCTGGGTCTCTAACCACCGATTATTATCATCTCGCGGACCTCAACCAGGTAGTCGACAATTACCGACATGGCTAAGTCCACTTGTCAATAACTTCATGGATTTCTGCCATGTTTTGGTTTGGCCGCACCTAGATTTCTTCCAACCTATTCCTACACTACAAAACAAAGCTCTTCGAGACAGTCGGTGGTTAGGCGTGCGCAACACATGTCCCAACCACCTCAACTGATGAAGTTTCATTACTTCATCTTTTGATTCGCCATTCTTACCTAGCACCCGTTTTCTAATAACAGCGTTGCTCACTCGGGTGATATGGGTATAAGGGCTTCCCATACCGTAGAAGGGCTCTGGTTGTCAGAAGGGATATCGCCTTCATGACTTCCGAAGGAACTTGGCTTTCATCATGAGATGTCATAATTCTTCTAAATGAAGAAGATCTAACTCCCAGAGTAGAGTTTATATGGTTTGAATTATTGATTCTTGTTAGCGTTTTTTTGGCGAGTAAGTTTTTCCCCGGGATGGGGTCGCCAACCCCACATCTCAACCCTCCTCCTTTACCCGGGATTGGGACCGGCAGTAGCCCCGAAGGGTTTTTACAGGCGGAGTTATTATTTATGACATACTTTTATCTGATTAGAAAAGTTTTCTTATGTAATTCACTTACTAGTTACAGGTTAATTTACCAGACTTAAGGATTCCTTGTTTATATGGTCAGTCAGTCAGCAGCAACATAGAACTTCGTACGTACATACATCAGTTCAAGTCAGCATACCACCTTAGCACACATAGATGGAATTTTCAGTTCAAATGCCACAGTAATATAGATAATAGAAGTATTAGCAGTAATTGGAAAGAGTATGGTTCGAATAAATGATTCGAGAAGTATGATCCAGTGAAGTAAATTTAAAAAGAGATAAAACGTCATGAAGAATTTAGAAGGTTCAAAGTTGGGAGAAGACAAACAATGAATGCATCTACATCAATGCAAACGATCTGAGCCATTGCATTCAAAGCCTCTAACCATCGGTTACTGTTGTCTCGCGGATCCCAACCAGGTTGTCTATATTTACTAACTTATCTCATTCCAGTTTTCAGTGATTTCATGGGTTTGTTCCACGTTTTGGTTTGGCCACCCCCAGCAGGTGCAAATTTATATGGAGGCCCCGGACAGTAGCTGCTACCTTGACGTAGTGGTTGAGCCTGCCTATCGTGATGACCCAACCGAGCTATATCAGCAGGAACGTATGTTCCTGAAGATTCTACCATGCCAGGCAGGTCGATTGTAGAACGATGAGACTAAAAGCATCTACTCAAGGTCTGAGGGCGAAGTCGTACTGCTGACTGCAGAGAGGTGTGACAGCAGTAAGGTGTTTTCCTCAGACAACCAGCATCTGCAGTGATGCTGCCTTCTCACAAGGAAGGAAGGGTTAGAAAAGGTCGACCCTAAAAATGTCACACCTCACCCTACCTCACGGATTTCCGTCTCCGTCGGTAAGGGTGCCCACTAAGGGCTTTCAAGAGCGGAGCTAACACTCAAAAAAACCTTTCATCAAAAGGCCTTGAGTGACCGACCTTAAGCAGTTGTCTCTTGAACTCTGCGGTCACGCTTCCAGGTCACTAAGACCAACACTAATCTACCTTACTTTTCAGGTTCCTCAGGAAACACCATTCCTTGGTATGGGCATCCGCGAAGTGATATCCGCCCTCATATCCGTAACAGCACACGAGACCGAATTGATCACAATCAAATCCTCCCTATACCCTCTAACATCTCTCTTATCTCCATGACTCACCCTTCTCACATCTCTTTATCACACTGCATCGCTAATGCAAACGATTGGAGTTCACGAAGCGTTATTCCTGATCTCCTGTAACCCCGTTCTAAACTTTATGTTGGAGCATTTAATGTCCGGACATTGTGTCAAGTAGGGCAACAGGCTTCCTTAGCTAGTATTCTGGAATCTCGTGCCATTGTAGTATGCTGCGTTTCGGAAACGTGCCTATAGGTTCTGAGCAAAATCATTAATTTGATGTCAACTTGTCCAAATAGAGAATCAACTAGGTTTACGTTTCGTGTATTTGGAAGCCTTGCTACTACTTCCCGCGGCCACGCTGGTATGGGTATAGCATTAAGTTCTAAGGCAGAACTAGCTCTCCCAGAATGGATCACAGTAGATAGTCGCTTGTGCGTTGTCCGACTAAACGAGACAGTAAAGACTCAGAAAGACAGGGAGGCTCGCCGTTGCCTCTTCGTTGTATCTGCCTACGCTGATAATGAGCTTTACAAAAAGCCTTCAGAACTGCTCCAAAATTTTGGGTGCTCTGATATGGTAATGGTGGCTGGTGACTTCAATGCTCAAGAAGGTAGACTAAGTAGAAAGGAAAGACACCTTGGTGGATCTTATGGTCTCGCAGCCGATCGAAGAGATAATGACGACCGCCTGCTGCAGCTATGTTCAGATAACCGCCTATTCCTAGCAAATACTAACTTTAAGCACAAGGACAAACATCTTTGGTACGGCGATCCCCAAAGTCGTCTCAACGATGGACCCACCTAGATCACATCGATATCAGCCATCGGTGGACAGACTCTATTAAAGACTGTCTCTCATTCAGGGGGAAATGTTTAGATTCATATCACGCTCTAGTGTGAGTGCGTATTTGTTTGCGTCTTACCGGACGTAGAAAAGACGCTGCAAGGAAACCTCTTAAGGTTCTTCTTAATGATAGCTTAGCTAGGAATATATTTCAGGAGTAACTAGAAAAATGGTTAGGTGACCGTGTAAGTGATGCCCACCCGTAGGCAGCTTGGAATGATATCAAAAAATCTGTGGATTCGGTGGTGATATCTGCTAGTAAGGTTAACCATCTGCATCTGCAGATCTGATGGATGCTCAAAAACTCATCCCATCTGACTCTGAACATGATGAAGAGTTAAGTCAGGTTAAACGCAGGCTGACAAAAAGCCTACGCAATGATCCTGAACATTGGTGGGTAGGGTAAGCAAGAGCGATAGGAAATGCAATGGCGATAGGTGACAGTAGACAACTGTTCGGTCTTATTAAGGAAACCGGTACTAGAAATCCATCCATTAGCGAAACTATCTCAGAAAAGGATGGGACTACTATTCATTCTCAACCTAGGATATTGGATCGATGTGCAGAACACTTTAGGTACCAATTCAACTGGCCTTCAGCCACGTTTCGGTTGCCCACGATCCCGAGTCATCCTGAATGGCAAATCAATATAAGTCTTCCGAGTCTTTATGGAGTTGAGAAAGCTATAGGAAATCTGAAGCGAGGTAGAGCAGCAGGGCCTGCCTCTGAAATTTTTAAGGATGATGGTCCAGTTTTAACAGTTAGATTGACTGAGATTTTAGGTAGAATCTGAGAACTGGGCTTAATCCCATCTAACTGGTATCAATCGCTGATTCCCTCAGTCTGTGAGAAAGAACAAAAGTCCTCTTGTTCCAATCACAGAGGAATTAGTTTAACGACTATAGTGCCTAAATTATAAGACTCGATAATGCTTCAACACCTGACTAGAGCTCCTAAAGATCAGACTTCTAGACGTAAATGTATAGACCACATTTTCACACTACGACAGATCCTGGAACACAGACACACATTTAGACGTTTGATAATAATTGTCTTCCTGGACATTAAAGCGGTATTCGACTCTGTCGATCGTGAGATTCTTTGGCAGTGTCTGTCACTGAAAGGTGTACCAAAAAGTGCATTAACCTTATACGTGCTCTCTACTCAAACAATACTGGTCGAGTTAGAGCTTATGGTGAACTGTCATCGGAATTGATTACTTCAAGTAGTATCCGTCAGGGATGTCCACTTTCTTCATTCTTATTCAACTTTGTCATAGACATGCTTCTAGATATAACATTATATTCGTCTGACTTTTCAGGGGTGAACCCTCTACCAGGAGATTCGCTTGCTGACTTATAATATGCCGACGACGTAGTTCTACTTGATGATGACGCTGACAAAATGCAGAGTCTTCTGACTACCATAAGCAACAACGCAAGCATGTTCGGGATGCGGTTCTTACCTTCGAAATGCAAAATGTTGCTTCAGGATTGGCTTGTATGGGCACCTGAACTAGTGATAGGGAGTGGAGCAGTTGAGCGCGTTGACCGCTTCACTTATCTTGGGAGTCTCATAGGTGCTGATGACGTGGCGACTGATAAAATCTCAGCACGGATAAAGAAGGCTCGATTGGCTTTCGCCAACTTGCGTCACCTATGGCATAGGCTAGATATCCGTTTTCCAACCAAAGAACGAGTGTACTGCGCAGCAGTTCCGTCCTACTATATGGATGCGAAATATGGCCGATAAGAGTCGAGGATATTTGTAGGTTATTAGTATTCGATTATAGATGTTTGCGAAGCATTGTTTGTGTATCCTAGTACAACCGGGTAAGTAAAGCTGTTGTTAGGAAACGAGTTCTAGGTATGGATGGCAAATCGATAGATGAAGTATTGAAACTGCATCAGTTGGGACATGTGTTACGTATGCCTAATTTCTGACTGCCTCGACGAGCGATGTTTTGTCGTGTAGGAGTAGGGTGGAAGAAAACTAGGGGCGAGCAAATCCATGAAGTCACTGACAAGTGGATTAAGGCATGTTGGTAGGTGTCGACTACTTGGTTGATGTCCGCGAGATGATAGTACCCGATAGTTAGAGACCTTGAATGACGTGTTTCAAAATTGTTTGCAGTGGTGAAGGTACATCTTCTTCTTTGTGTTCTCTGAAATTCTAGTCTTCTGAATTTTTCATCACCTCTCTCTTTCTAAGTTTATCTCACTGAATCATACTTCTTGAATAATATCTTCAAACTCTAGTCTTCGCCATTACCACTAATACTTCTATCTCTACCACTATAGGATTTGAACTGACAAATGCGTCTCTGTGCTGATGTGATATGGCAACATGAACTTATGTACTTACGTACGCAGTAATTCTACGTTGTAGCTGACTGATTGAAGGTGATTGTTGTGTGTTCTATAGAAAATCGTGACTAGTATTTGTCATGTCATATATATATGTCCTTACGTTTTGTATAATTATTGATCTTCTTCAGATTATTGACTATCGAACTAATACATGTTCTAGTCAAGAAAATCACGTACTCTTCATCTGAATTGTATTAAAGTCTGATAGAATACTGCTAGTAGGATATCTAGGCATAGAATGAGCGAATTGTATACTTTCATTGCTTCATTAGTGTAGAGTAAGGAGAAATCTGAATGTCATTTTGTTAGGATATTCATCCAATATCCTAAGAGAATTATTGGTCTGTTCCTGTTGGTTAATTCCTACTGGTCAATTTTATGGTCGTCCTAGATATCAATGTCACGTGCTCCAATGTTGTTTCTTATTAGTTGTCCTGACTATCAATATCACTTCAAATGTTGTTTCTTATTGGTCGTCTTAACTGTCAATGTCACAGACTTCGATGCTGTTTCCTATTCAGCCTAAATGTATAAATACGCATTATCTGTAACGTTTTATTTCCAGGACCCGGTCCCGGATCTGTAGTCCGGGATCCTGATTCTCTTCTGGATTCAGACCTCGTACTTTCTGGATGCTTGTAGAATACAGGTTCTACTTCACATTCAAGTCTTCTCATTTTTTCTCAATATGGCAGTTGAGATAATCGGATTTGAGTAGCATGTCGTGTCACCGGATCGTCGATTCTCGCTCTCGTTTTCCGATTAGGTAAACTCGTAATAGTTCAAGTATATCAAGTTGATGTGTTTACGTACAGGCGTAACATATTTCATTAATAAATCTATTCTATACCCAAAATTCACCTTATTTTTTTGTCTCTATCTTTTTTCTTCAAATTCCAATTAAAACAAAAAGATCATATAATTTGGCCACGTACACTTCCACAAAATTCAATCATTATCAATGCTATTAGTGAACGTATAGAAAAGCTGCAAAATACTAATGACTATCATCGCTTCACCAAACCCCCGAAATTATTAGGTCTTATTGTATCATTTGGTCGATTTCTACCATATTCATTAGTATCTTTATTTAATTATGGATGTTATAATATTCATCCATCATTATTACCAAGATGGAAAGGTTCTAGTCCATTATTGTATACATTATTAACAAATGATCAAGTGACTGGAATCACTTTATTTCGATTGAATCCAATGCATAGAACATTTGATTCTGGTTCTGTGTTGTATCAAAAATCAATTCGTTTACCTTCTTCTATTCAAGAGAGACAATTCACTCCGGATCAATTAGCTACTTATTTAATGCCACATAGTATTAAAGCTATGTTTGAAGTAAGATTTAATTAGTTTCTATTACCATGCTTTACAATTGAATGTTTGAATTAATCTCTTGATATTATCTGTTGTTATATTATAATATTGAGATCATGGCGGTTGGCAGTGGTGGGGGGTGTAGTGAAGGAGAACACAGGTGAGGGCAGCCGAATTGTATTTAACGAAAATTACAGAGTAGTTACTCAGTAAAATTGGAAAACCATATCGTAAATCGTTAATTTGTAAAATATCAGTCCATCATATCGAACTGGACTGTTCCTGTTGCAAAACATCAATCCATTGTCACTATTCATGCGTTTCATACAAATTCCATTGTGTTCCCACTGTTCTTCCTTTCTTGATCTTCCCCCATCTTCTGCTGCCAGACATTACGTTTTTACTCGCGTCATGTACTACTTATAAGTAGCTCGCACCACAGGGGTAGGGTCTAATTTACTATGATGTTTTCCAACTACAAACGAAATGATTAACTCTTGTAGTTTAACGTTTTCGTCTAAGTTTTAATTTGACAAGCATCTTAAAAATCGACAAGCAACTAGACAATTCTTTCATTACGGTATTATAGAACTCTTTAACAGCGTTTATCCATTTTATCTCACCAATGATTGATTGAACTATAGACCTACTATTGACTTTGTGATAAGCATTAAAACTGTTAGGATATTCACCAAATATCCTAAGAGTACTATTTTTGGAAGTATAATCCTATTGATCGATTTCCATTGGTCAAAATTATGCTCGTTTTAACTGTCAAAGTCAAATACTTCAATGTTGTCTCTTATTGGTCATCCGGATTGTCAATGTCATTTCAAATGTTCTTTCCTATTGGTCGTCCTAAACTGTCAGTGTCATAGACCTTGATGCTCTTTCCTATTCGACCTCAATGTATAAATACGCACTATCTGTAAGACTTCACGATTCCGATTCCGCTTCTCCTGCCTACCTCTCTTCTGTACTCGACCCAATAAACAACTCCATCCCACGGTTTTGCGTTCTGATATCTAGCAGATTTGGAAATAGCATTTTGGGTCGTATTGGGATATTTGAATTGGACGCCGCTAGGACTGAATAGCTAGCTATACGTAGCAGCGTTATAACAAAAACCGATATGGTTATAGTTAAGTTTTCAATGAAATATGTTCTGAACCTAATGACTAGATAGTGTCAGAAATTGTAAGCAACATATTACTCAATGGAGTTGTTTTTCAAACAACTACATAAATAGATCGGAAGATGTTTACGTAAATCTCTACCTTTTTATTATAAAGCTGATTGATTTTTTAACACTTTTCGGGATAACCATAAATAATTTGACTTACTGAAATGTTTGACGCTTCAAACTCAAAATATAAGTTTTTAGATGATCACGTTTTATAAAAAGTTTGCCTTCCTTCCTTCCTGAAATCCACATCAGCAGCATATAAACATTAAACCATTATCTTACCAAAGAATATATATTATCGACAAAGGTTAAGCCTTCATTCGATCAAGGAAATGGTGTGTGCGATGTGCAGGAGTTGTGGATGCGCACTGCTGTTGAGTCCTATACCAAGACGAACCGGCCGTCCAATGCTTCCAGGTTTCTTATGGTGGTCTAACAATGATTGATTGATGATTTCAATGCGCAAAAAACACTAATCTCCACAACTCTAATTGAAAAACCGTAAAATGTGCTCACTAGTGACTAGCTTCGTGAGGAAGCTCTCGGTGTTCTAGTGAGAAGACGTGACCGCTGGAGTTCAAACCTGTCGGGTGTAGGCAGTAACTACCAAGAACAAATGGGTGAGGTCGCGCAAAATCTGTAGATTGATCAGAGTTCGACATTAACACCGTTAGACACCGGCCCAGTGGTCCAGAGGTTAGGCGTTTGCGCGCAAGACCGAAGGTCCTGTGAGGTGCAGGAGTCGTGGATAAGCACTGCTGAGTCCCATACCAAGACGAACCGGCCGTCCAATGCTTCCAGGTTTCTAACGTGCAAAAAACACTAATCTCCATAACTTTAATTGAAAAAAAATAAGAACTGAACTTTAAAAATAACTTGCTAATAATTAGGAAGAAACATCACTTCACTCAGTAGTTTAACATCAACGATTAGCAAAAACAAATTATGCCTTGTTTTTGAGAGATGAAACAAGATTTTAAATCGATATACATGAAAAAGAATACAAGAGGAACGGAATTTTTAAAAAAAACTATCAGCGAAAAAAAAGAATACATAAACGAAAATATTCAAACTAGATTTTAAATGGGTGAGAAAATATGGTTTGTTGTGACAACAACAGTGCAACTTAGTATATTCATAGTAAACATTATGGTGAAATTGATTGCGAATATTCAAACTATTGACTATTTTTTAAGTAGTATGGTGTAATATGAATAAAAACAAGCAACGAATTAGAAAAACAGGCATTTATAATATCATCTATAATCTATTCTAATATGATCATTAAAAATATTTATATTATTAACTATATATATATAGGTGATTTTATATCCTAATTTACCATATTTAATTGGTATTGATCAATCAGTGATTTCAGACAAATTTCAACTTCCAATAACTTATGCACGTAAACCTCATCCACGTATGGGTTTAATTAATTGGCATCGACAATCAGCTGAAGATATTATTCGTTGCTGGTATGCATTTCAAGGTAGTTGTGTAAATTTATTCACAGAACTTTGTCTGTTGAATACTGATGACGATGAAGTTGAACAAGAAGAAGAAAAAGAGAATCATTCATTAGTTGCAAATTTTCGTCTCCTTGAATGTCCATTACTGGTACCGCCACCACCCCATCTGGATTGTACTTCTAAGAATAATGATGGTCAGTATAATACTGAAGCTGACAATATCTACTGTCCAGATTATGAACCAAAAGTTTGTGATATATTATAATATTTGTTTTAAAATCAATATTTGTTACGCTCTTCACTAAGTATGCTTGAGGCTATTACGAGTTTACCTTGGTCGATAAACGCGAATGAGACTTTTACCAGCGTCCAGGTAGGCTACCTTGAATCCCCAAAGCCAGTAAAAAGGCTTTGTAAGCGTAGAAAGTATATTCTACAAACACCCAGCAATCACAGTACCATCAAGCATACAACTCTCGTTTATTTATACAAGATAGAGACGTCCTTGAGACAGTTAAGAAAATAGCACACTAAAATACACAGCAGCCAATCACAGCCATGGATTTTCCTGGTGGGAATTGAAATCTCAAGGTCAACTGATCAGCCCATGCTGGCAAACGTGAAAACCAAAATAAGGCATTTATCAAGCGAATTTTGGGGATCTAACATCCCCAACAATATTTCAGTCAATAATTGATCTGTAAGTTGATAAGAACTGTTAATAATCAGTAAATTATTAGTTAGGTATTTTTTTTCTATCTTGAAACTATTCAACAGGGTGTAATCACTCCCGTATCAATAAGATTGAACCTAGTACCTCCAAGTTTTACAGTTTAGGTATTGGTTAGTGTACTTGACTTTGTGATATGCTTGATTGCTATTACGAGTTCACCTTACTCGGTAAACGGAACGAAGGTCAACGATACTGTTGACACAGTAGGCTATGCTAATCCGTTATACTAGGCCCTGCTAGCTAGATCAAGAAGTCTTGATAAGGCGTAGTGTATTCTACAAGCACCCAGAAAATACGAGGCTCACAAGCACACAAATCAAGCTAATTCATACAATGATAGAGACACCCTTGAGAGAGCCACAAAATAGCGTACTAAAATAATCCATCAACCAATGACAGTCAAGGATTTTCCGAGAGGGAAATGTAAGCTGAAGGTCAATTGGCGCGAAAACATGTAAATTTAAAATTTCAGATTAAAATTAAAAAATTAGGAATTTTCCAAATGAGTTCTGAGAATCTAACGTCGCCAATAGTTTCAACCAACAGTTCACAGATTGAAAATCATTTGAACCTTCTTCATATCAGCTATTTAGTTAAAAATAGACTTGTACTTGGCATATAGTTTAGTTATCAGTCATTGTTAGACTACCATTACGAACCTGGAAGCAATGGATAGCCGTTTCATCTTGGTAAGGCGCTCATCAACAGTGCGCATCCACGACCTCCGCTTGCGGCAATCGAATCCAGGACCTTGTGTCTCGCTTACGAATTTGTATATATATATATATATATATATATATATATATATATATATATATGGGTATGAAGGGCGTTTGTCACTTCCCGGCTGCCCACACCGTGGAAGGTTGTTTGTTTCTTCAGGAACCTGAAAAGGAAGGTAGATTAGTGTTGGTCTTAGAGACCTGGGTACGTGACCGCAGAGTACAAGGGACAACTGCTTGAGGTCACGCACGGCCTTTTTATGAAAGGATTTTTGAGTATTAGCTCCGCTCTTAAAAGCCCTTATTGGGCACCCTTACCGACGGAGACGGAAATCCGTGAGGTAGGGTGAGGTGTGACATTTTTAGGGTCGACCTTTTCTAACCCTTCCTTCCTTGTGAGAAGGCAGCATTGCTGCAGATGCTGGTTGTCCGAGGGAAACACCTTACTGCAGTCAGCAGTACGACTTCGCCCTCAGACCTTGAGTAGCTGCATTTAGTCTCATCGTTCTCCAATCGACCTGCCTGGCATGGTAGAACCTTCAGGAACATATGTTCCAGCCAGTATAGCTCGGTTGGGTCATCACGATAGTCAAGCCCGACCACCACGTCAAGGTAGCAGCTACGGTCGGGATGGATTGTTGATAGATAGATAGATAGATAGATCAAAACCATGAAAGAATGAACATTTATTTTGTCATAGGACTTAAACTTCTCCTCAGCCGTATCCATTCCTAATCACAGTATAATGATTGAATACAAGACGTGCAGACCATTTGTTTCACTAGTTTACATTTGCTAGCTTTAGTTACTTCTCAGCATTATGCGCATATTAACTTTCTATTTGATTGGTGAGTAATAGCTCTTTACTATAAAAATCAGTTGAATGAAATTCATCACTCCACATCAACTTCATTGACTACGAGAAAGCTTTTGATAGCGTGGACAAGACAACACTACGGCGTGCCTGAGAAGATATTCAACATCATACGGTAGTCTTATGATGGATTAAACTGAAAAATCGTTCACGGAGGTCAGCTGAAAAACTCTTTTGAGGTGAAGACCGGTGTCAGGCAAGATTGCTTACTCGGACCCTTTCTCCTGGTAATCGGCTGGATTGTGATGATGTCAATATCTTTATGGAAGTACAGGATACAGTGGACAAATCGGACGCAGCTGGACTGCAGATGATCTGGCTGTTGTATCGCACATGCGACAACAAATGCAAGCGAAGACGACTAGTGTAGCAGCAGCAGGTCTCAACATCCACAAACGGAAAAGCAAGATTCTCCGATACAACACAACATACGCCAACCATATCATAATTGACGATGAAGCTTTGCAAGATGATGAGCATAGGGGATCTGATACGGATGTGTAAACACAGAGTAGCAAAGCAAGTGCAACATTCCTACAATTAAAGAATATCTGGAACTCAAAACCACTATCAACTAACATCAAAGCTACAATTTCTAATACAAATGTCAAGGCAGGCTGGAACTTAGAAAACTACCAAAGCCATCATCCAGAAAATATAAGTGTTTATTAATAGTTGTCTACACAAAATACTTCGGATTCGTTGACCAGACACTATCAGTAACAACCTACTGTGTAAGAGAACAAACCAGATTCCAGTGGAGGAGGAAATCGGGAAGAAGCACTGTAGGTGAATAGGACACACATGACGAAAAGCACCTAACTGCATCACAAGATAAGCCTTAACTTGGAATCCTCAAGGTCAAAAGAAAAGAGGATGGTGAAGGGACACATTACACTGAGAAACAAATACAGACATGAAAAGAATGAACAACAGTTGGACAGAACTAGAAAGGAAAGCCTAGGACAGAGAAGGTTGGAGAATGCTGGTTGGTGGTGGCCCATTCTCACCATTCGAGTTAACAGAAGTATGTAGGTAAGTAAGCAAGCAACTCTTCACACTCTCCAGTATGACTAAACTCTATTGGTTACATTTCCCGACTATAGCTGCTACCTTGACGTGGTGGTCGGGCTTGACTATCGTGATGACCCAACCGAGCTATACTGGCTGGAACATATGTTCCTGAAGGTTCTACCATGCCAGGCAGGTCGATTGGAGAACGATCAGACTAAAAGCAGCTACCCAAGGTCTGAGGGCGAAGTCGTACTGCTGACTGTGATGGAGGGATGTGACAGCAGTAAGGTGTTTCCCTTGGACAACCAGCATCTGCAGCAATGCTGCCTTCTCACAAGGAAGGAAGGGTTAGAAAAGGTCGACCCTAAAAATGTCACACCTCACCCTACCTCACGGATTTCCGTCTCTGGCGGTAAGGGTGCCCACTAAGGGCTTTCAAGAGCGGAGCTAATCCTCAAAAAACCCTTCATAAAAAAGCCGTGAGTGACCGGCCTCAAGCATTTGTCCCTTGGACTCTTCGGTCACGCACCCAGGTCTCTAAGACCATCACTAATCTATCTTCCTTTTCAGGTCCCTCAAGAAACAAACAACCTTCCACAGTGTGGGTAACCGGTAAGTGACAACCGCCCTCATACCCGTACCAGCACACAAGACCAAATTGGTTACATTTGATAATATAATATACAAAATATTTGCTGTTCAATAACTTTGTTTTTTTTTTCATTGTGTCTTTATTGATTATTATTATTCGTATAATTTTTCTTGTATATAGATAATGAATTATTTGAAAGAAGCTTCAATTCTTCTACATCAACCGTATACTTTATCATTACCACCGGGTAGTATTGTCTATTTACGTTCACAAACCGACAGAAAACATCATTTAATCCCGTATACATTCATTGCTTGTAAATCATCACATGAGGTCCATACTTCCCCTAATACAACCCCATTGAATAATCATAATCATAATAATAATAGTAATAATAATAATAATAATAATAATAATACGATGGTATCATCATGGATAGCTGTGAAACGTTTCCTAGTGAATTGGCCTAATTCATCAACAACAGATTATAGACATTTAACAGCGATTGACTTGTATAATAGTTATTTTTTAAAATATATTCATTGTATATCCTCATCATCATCGTCGACATTGGCAACATCTGTGATCGATAAGAAACGACCTTCACGACCATTAGGTATTCGTTTGATTGGTGAATTTCGATCATCATCACTGCTGAATAGTAATCAAGATTATATGCTGATTAAATCATGGAATGAATTAACACCGAATATTTTTCCTTCAGATTTACAATTATCATCATCATCAATATCGTCTGAGAGATCAATGATTGTACAAAATTGTAATACATAGATGATAGTTGAAATAAATATTTCTAATAATATTAATAATAGTAAAACAATTTGTTTTTTTATTCTTTTGTTTTTCATTGAAAACCTGAAAGTACTGAATTGACGTTTTGTGTTAGTGTATAGAACTCCTCAGCAATGTGTATTCATTCATTACCTTGCGAGCAGACAGACAGACAGATACAACGCAGAACTTCGTACGTACGTACGTACATCAGTTCAGGTTGCCATGCCCCATCAGCACAGAGAAGTAACTGTCAGTTCAAATCCAAGAGTGATAGCAATAATGGAAGTATTAGCAGTAATGGAGAAGATTAAGGAGCGAAGATATGATTCGAGAAGTATAATTCAGTGTGATAAATTTAGAAGGAGAATGGTAGAGATTATGAGTAATGCAAAAGCTTAGAATTTCATAGAACACAAAGAGTGAATGCACCTAACCATCGGTGACTACCGTCTCGCGGACCCCAACCAGGTAGTCTACATCTACCAACATGACTCAATCCACTTGTCAGTCACTTCATGCATTTCTGCCATGTTTTAGTTTGGCCGCCCCTAGATTTCTTCCAATCTACTCCTACACTGCAAAACATAGCTCTTTGCGGCAGTCGGTGGTTAGCCATACGTAACACATGTCCCAACCACCTCAACTGATGAAGTTTCACTACTTCATCTATTGATTTGCCATCGCTACCTAGGACTCGTTTCCTAACGACAGCATTGCTTACTCGGTTGTCCCACGATATACGAGCAATGCTTCTTGAACATCTATGATCGAATACTAGTAACCTACAAACATCTACTCTGACTGGCCATGTTTCACAGCCATATAGGAGAACGGAGCGAACTACTGCGCAGTACACCCGTCCTTTGGTTAGCGAACAGATATCACGCCTACGCCATAGGTAACGCAGGTTGGCAAAAGCCAATCAAGCTTTCTGTATCCGCGCTGAGATTTCGTCCGTCACCAGGCTATCAGCGCTGATGAGACTCCCATTGAGTTTTAGAATGTGCATATTTTGTAATTTTTTATTCTTTTCGAATTAAATCGTTTATTTCTGTAATATTTTCTATATTATCATTGATGTTGTTAGTATTGTTGATACTCTGATATTTTTATCTTGAGAATTTCCTCTCACTATATACAACTTATGTGATATGATTGGTTAAACTAATACATACATCAGATTCGACTTTACTTATAACTAACTGATTAAAGATTCCCATCGTGAAAATTCGAACAACACATATAAGCGAACAATATTACTGTTTTCGATTAGATCGTCATCAGGCTTTCTACTCTAATATACATGAATATTTATATTAAAATGTTAAACCAATCAAGGCAGTTTGAGTGATAATCACAATGAAATGAAAAAGATTACGTAACTACATATAATAGGCGAAAGTTCAAGTGGATAGTAAGAAGACATGTGTACTGATAGTAGTAAGAAAATTATAAAATATGATAACTAAATGTCTTCCTACTATCCACTTGAACTTTTGCCTATTTTATGTAGTTACGTAATCTCTATTTCATTTCATTGTGATTATCACTCAAATTGCTTTGATTGGTTTAACATTTTCATACATAAATATTCATGTATATTAGAGTAGAAAGCCTGATGATGATCTAATCGAAAACAGTAATATTGTTCGCTTATATGTGTTGTTCTAACTAACTGATTAACATGAATTATGAAATTCTACTGAAAAATAAGATTTGTATCCCAACTGTAGCTGATACCTTGACGTGATGGTCCGGGTTTGCCTATCATAATGACCCAACTGAGTTATATTGGCTGGAACATATATTCTCCTGTATGTTCTATCATGCCAAGCAGATCATTTGAAGAACAATAAGATCTATTTCTTTTTCATAATATTTGTGATAATAATCTATCTCGTGTTTCTTATTTGAGCTTTACTCTGTTAGTCCATTTTTTTGTTCAGTCAATTAGCAACAACGTAGAACTTCGTACGTATGTACAGTAGTTCAAGCTGCCTTATATACCATATAATTGAGAAGACTGAGGCAGGCTCGATAGATTGTATTTGGCAAATTTACACTCTTAGTCAATTAAAAACGAAAACATTACATTGAATACACTCTATTTGCACACCATCTTTGAGTCCTGACTTCCAACGCTCCATCCTTCTTCCATTCCTGCTGTTGCTTCCTTTCCTTCCTGTCGGTGCTCTATTATTTCTTGTTTTTGCTTTCCGTTTTCCTCTTCTGACCGTGAGACTTCTTCTTTCACGTCCATTCTTATACTACTTATATCGTTCGTATAAGTAGCACACACCACATAATCACAGACAGATCGAATTTTCACTTCGAATCCACTAGTGTTAGACGTATTTGGCAGTCAATTTTCAACCATGTCGTTCAATGTATCTAACCACCGGTTACCATTGTTTCGTGGACTTTAACCAGGTAGTCTACTAACATGGCTCAGTCTAGTAGTCAGTGACTTCATGGATTTGTGCCATGTTTTAGTTTGGCTGGTCCGAGCTTTCTTCCAGTTTACCCCTTCAATGGACCAAAATAAAGTTGCGCTTTACACCAGGACGGACCCAAAAATTGCCAATTATCCGGTTATGTCCAAAAAGGACGCGCTCTACACATGCTCTTACTCGCCATGTATTATTATAGGGAGACTACCCCTAACTCGGTGGTCTCCTACTAGCTGCAGAGATGCAGTCTATTTAATATTATAATAAGGGGGTATATATACTCGCCTATGGACAGTTCAGTACATACATGTGCATAGATCCAGTCCACAGCAAGTATACAGAACATGTATCTACAGCATACACAGGCCAATGCACAGCATAGTATACACATAGGTATAGATGCACTATTCTGCAAGTATACGGAACATGTACATCATGCTATTCATAGGCCTACTAGACCTATGAAAATATTGACAGTCTTACATGAAGTAAATACATTTTGATAGCTACTTAATGAATTAGTTCTGTAACTTTGGATAATATCGATTTATTTTTAAATGTTTCTCAAGCAGAGTCTACCTTGAAAAGTGATGCTTACCATCAACCATATCAATGGATCTAAGCTATCTAGTTTGAGTAAAGTAATTTATATGAACATTTGTCAATTTTCGAATGAATAGTTCAACCCTATCGGGGGTGTAGGCAGTAACTACCGAAGAAAAATGGATTGATTCAAGTTGGACATTAACATTGTTAGATACCAACTCACTGGTCTAAATGTTAAGTGGTCACATGCGAGTTCGATTCCCGCTAGTGGGGTTCGTTAATGCGCATACGCTGGTAAACCCCAGACTACGACGAAACGGCCATCCAATGCTTCCAGGTTTCTCATCGTGGTCTGGTATTATTGATCAATTCATTATTTCAAAGTTAAGCTTTTTAAATTTTTTCAAAAACAAAATTTATATTCATGGAAACAACAGTTCATTTGTAGTGAAGGAGAATACAGGTGAGGGCAACCGAATTGTATTTATCTCAAATTACAGAGTTAATTGGTAAAATAGAAAAACCATATCGTAAATCGTTAATTTGCAAAATATCAATCCATCATATCGAACTGGACTGTTCCTGTTGCAAAACATCAATCCATTCTTTGTCTGACATTTCACTGTTCATGCGTTTCATACATATCCCATTGTGTTCCCACTCTTCCTTTCTTGATCTTCTCCCATCTTCTGCTGCCAGACATTACGTTTTCACGCGCGTCATATGCCACTTATAAGTATGGCGCACCACACAATGATCAACACTTCACAGTCTCTAAAGAAAATATTAAGATTGAATGTAATTCATAAAGCTTTATTGAGAAATCTATGATTGACAATCAGTATTATAACAATATTCCTTTTTGTGATAAATTATTGAATTTTATGAGCTACATATGATCAGTAGTGTTACAATTTCAGTAGTTTATAACCATATTCCACAATGACTTTCAGAATTATCAATAAAATCATAGAAAGAAAGTATCATGAGATAGAATGAAAATTACTTACTTACTTACTTACGCCTTTTACACCCAATCGAGTATAGGCCGCCCACCAGTTTCCTCCGACTAACTCTTTCCTGGGCTATACTTAGGCTCTATAGAAAGTGAATAAGAAGTAAGACAATGTTAAAAAGTATGCGAAATTCACACTTAACTATCTGAAAAGAACAAAGCTTCGTGTGATAATAAAATAAAGAATAATTACAATATACGATAATGAAAGTGACAACCATTGACTGACTGTATCTATCAACAATCCAAATGCGAACTGCTATTTCACTAATATGGAAGCTGTTTTATTTGACAGTGATTGTTAAAAGTATTTGGAGAGATTAATTACAATAATAAATATGATAAGTATCATTAGTTTACACAAAATATTCTAAAATGTTAACAACTAAAGTTACATTAGGGGGTTGTGAAGATTGTTAAGTTACACATTTTTGAAACCATGAGTCCCATACGGGGACGAAACGGGCGTCTTTCAGTGCTTCCAGGTTTCTGATGGTGGTCTAACATTGATCGATTCATTGTTTCAAAAAATGTGTAACTAAAGTTACATCTTATATTCAGGAATTATTATAAATAAAACTGGTTACTCAAATATTAAAAAGTAGTATAAAAAATATGTCTGAAAAAAGTGGCCTGGGAAGAAAATAAAGACGGAGAATGCTGACGAACTTAATACTCGATAGTGATAATAATAATAATATTGTTGAAATATTTATACAATTGTCACTTTTCCTATTCCTACCCCACCATCATAATGATTTTCATCATCATTTCACCGTAATATAAACAACTTTCTGCCACATTTAAAATAATAATCTCTTTCATGTGACAACCGACAAAAGAAAGAATTTTAAATTTAAGAAAAATATTAACGAAAAAAAACTTATCAGACAATAATATAAAAAAATAATGAGACAAGACAAAATGAAACGAAGGGGATAAATATTTTATAAACTTAAAAAACATTAATTAGTATACTCTCTCTGTCTTATTTCATGGTGTTTACAAGATATAAAC